ACCTCCCGGGTGATTCTCGGGTACCAACCGCCAACACCAGAGGGCTACTACGACGACAACGAGTCTGTCTGTCTCGCTAGCGGTCGAATATACGGGCGCACGATATAAATACCGCACCTAGCGAGACTCCCTCTACGTCTAAGGCAGGGACTACCGGGCATAGCCTTACTGACGAGGGACTACCGGATATAGCCATACTGACGAGTCCATCGGTAGTCCCGGGACGAAACGCGCATTTTCTTTTCACCTGGCAGGGACTCCACTACCATCAAAATATAATCTATTCACTTCTCGACTGAAATTCGTACACTCCAGAAGGATCGAATCAGGGACGTTGGAGGAAAACTACAACTACTAAATCCCTTCCTCGACGAAGATGGCGATTTTATCGGCATCATTCATTGAAATTGTTGCAGCTTTACATAAACGAAGTGACGCAGCATCCCGGAATTCCAGTGAGCAATTTTCTCTAGAATTTAAAAAAAAACTCACAGTTTAACGAACTTCCTACAAAGCTCGACGATTGAAATTATTCCGCGCGGAAATTTACAAACTACGTGTCTCGATTCCATCCTATCTCTATTACGAAGAAAAGGCGAAATTTTCGGTAAATTCAGCGAAAGGATTAAAAATGAAGTTATTGAGACGTTTAAAAATCTAGTTAAATCAACACTATTTGTATTGCTATTTGATCTCTTAAATAGTTTCAGTTCAAACTCATAATCTGAATTTTAAGGTTCTCATCGTACCAGAGTAGAACTCATACTGGCTTCGCTAAATAGGTATACGTTAATTATCGTCTACTTTCAAGCGTCCATTGCTCGGGGAACGGCGCGCATAGATGGTCGGCGCGCGACTTGGAAAAACCCTGCCCTCTCCATTCGGGTTATTGGACAAGTTGAACTCGCCCTTTCGGGCGGCAGCTCGCTTAGCCGGCGCGACGCGATGCGTGCATCTCGCCGTGCTGTTACCAGCGGGGGCCACGAGGAGGCGGAGCTGCCAGTGTGAAGCTCGGTCCCAGCAGGTTGGCTTTTCAGCCGATTATTCCCTGCACCGTCACAGTATTCATTTGCATGAGTACCGCCTGCGTCGACAGTCGCAGGGTGTCCTTCCTAGATCTTCCTTGCCGTTTTCCTTTCTTGTGTTCTTTTCTGCATCTGTTTCCTGCTCTTTTATGTTCGTTTTCCTGTCTAGAGTCCGATGTCGTTGGTCTCTGTGCCGCTCAGCGTTGCGGATTCTTCTTCTTCTTCTTCTTCTTCCCCTCTGCTCTGTTCGGGTGGTCTCCGTGCCAGCCTTTGACTCCGTCTTGGAGGCAGTCTGTCGGTTCACTCAGCTGTGCTGCTCCTCTCCCTGAGTGTCATCCCTGTAGCGGGGTGCCCTCTGTCTCTCGCAGAATTCTCCTTTTCTTCTCTTCTTTTGTCTGTAGAACGCTCCTTGTGAACTGGCGGAAGTGGGGGTATACGTCGTTCGTTATAAACTCCCACTTTTCTTCTGGCTAGTCTAACTCTAGTTCGTGTATTGCATTCCGCAGTTTTTGACAGTCTTCTTCGAAGAGAAGACAATCCTCGAGGATGTGGTGAGGGGTTTCCTCTTCGCCGCAGTCGCACATGTCTACTTCGCTCAGGCAGAACGTCTTGAGTTTGCTGTTGAAGTCCCCGTGGCCGCTAATGAACTGTGGCCGCTAATGTGTGTATGTCATATAGTGGTCGGGTCTTACCCAGCGATTCTCAAGCCTGTCCTTGATGCTGTCGAAGTACGCGTAGGTCGTTCTTCCCTTCCTCGTGGTCTGCCAGCGTTCTTGCCACTTCTCTATTGCTTGTCTGGCGATTTCCTTTTCGCTTGACCTTCGTAACCTATCGTCTTGACCTTTTTTCCATCGATATGTCCTTGCTCGGACTTCGATGAGGAGGTCGATCGGGATGGCTCCGGCGATGACCTGGAGTGCCTCTGTTGACGTCGTTCTGTAGGCCTTTGTCACTCGGAGGAGTGCCATCCTCTGCGATCTTATGAGCATGCTCTTTGCTTTACTCTTCAGCAGGTCGCTCCAGCCGGCTGCGGCGTATGTGGTTATCGGTTCAAACAGCCCTTTGTACAGGGTACGCATGGCCGCGTGTCCGAGTCCCCACTTCGCCTTGGCCACTCTCGCGAGTTCTCGTGTTCTTTTCTGTGTCTGTTTTCTGCTCTTTTATGTTCGTTTTCCTGTCTAGAGTCCGATGTCGTTGGTCTCTGTGCTGTTTATTTTCAGGCCGCTTTCTAGGTACTCTCCCAGGTACTTGATCGTCTGTTTCATTTTTATACTTCTGCCATCGATCTTGATGATCGGTGGTCTCTCCGCGTCCAGCTTGCCTTTGACGAGTATCATCTCCGTTTTCTCCGCCGACAACGAGAATTTCTTCCTGGCGCACCAAGTAGAAACGCGTGTGACTACATTTTGTCCTTTCTCTTGTAGTTCAGTCCTCGCGTTTCCTGCGATCAGGATCACTATATCGTCCGCGTACGTGACCGGTTCACACTCTGTCGCGTTTGTCATGAGTTCAGCCAGCAGGTCGTCGAATATTAGGTTCCAAAGGCTTGGACCCAGTACCGACCCCTGCGGACATCCCTTCGTAACGGGCTTGCTAACAATGTCATTTTTCCCAGCGATTCGCACGACTCTGTCCGAAAAGTAGCTCCTCGTCAATCGATATAGATTGCCGGGGCAGTCTCTTCTCTTTAGCTCGTGCAATACGTTGGGCCACCACACGTTATCACAGGTTCCAGATATGTCGAGTGCGATTGCGAGAACGTATCTTTTCTCGCTCATTCGCTCGACTATCTCGCGGAATTTTGTAATCGCGTCCACCGTAGATCTTCCGGGACGAAAGCCGTACTGACACTTTATTACCGCTTTCAGTTGTCTGTGGAGGCGCGGGATGATAGGCTGTCGTGCGTAAGTGCTTGACACCGAGCAACCGGCATAACTCTTCAAACAGTCGCGATTCAAATTGTCATCCTTGGTCGGCCGTTATTTTTAAGGGGACGCTGAAACGAGCTATGCAAGTCGAAAGGAGGGCCGAGGCAACAGTTGGCGCTTTCATATCAGCAATGGGAACGGCTTCGGGCCAACGCGAAAAACGATCGATACACGTTAGACAATATCGATAATCTCGCGAATATTGCATCACGATAATGTCTAAGTGTATGTGTTCGAACCGGCCTACTAACGTTTTGAATATTCTAACTGGTGAGGATACGTGCCTGGTGACTTTATTGCATTGGCACGGTATGCATTGCCGCGTCCACGTTCGACAATCTTTGTTTACGGACAGCCAGACAAAGCGCGTCGTCACTAGTTTTTGCGTGGCGCGTATCCCCGATGGGAAAGTCCACGCAGCGACTAAAATACGGCGCATCGTAACGGTTCCGATAGGTACGGTCGCAGGGTTTCAGTCGAGTGATCGCAATATATTCCGACATCTTGATGGGGATATCGTACCTTTTTCCATTGCAGCGCGCTAGAGCCAGATTTAATGATTTCGCGCAGCTCGATATCGTTCCGTTGCGCTGCGGCTAGCGTTTGATGATCGACTGATTCCCCGATCGGTTCGCTCAGGGATAGAGTATCGGCTAAATTATTGTCTATCTATTTTATATGCCGGATATTCGTCGTAAATTGTCCGACGTAGTCAAGATGACGGAATTGCCTTGGCGAACACTTGTCAAGAATTTAATCAAACACGTATACCAGGGGTTTGTGATCTGTATAAATCGTGAAATCTCTTCCTTCGACAGCGTGCCTGAATCGTTTCTCCGCGGTGTGCATCGCGAGTAACTCTCGATCGTACGCGCTGTACTTTCGTTGCTCGGGGGATAGCGATTTCGTCATGAAACCTAAGAGCTGTCAAGAATCATTGACGCGCTGTTCAAGTACCGCACCTATGGCGTAATCGGATGCGTCGACCGCGAGGCTAACGGGCGCGCCTGGAATCGGATGCGCTAACATTGACGCGTCAGCTAAGGCGCGTTTCAACTCGCGGTAGGTCTTTTCGAATCGATCGGACCGCTCAATAGACGCGTTGCACTTCGTTGTGCCTTTCAACAAGTCGTTGAATGGTTGGAGAATTTGCGCGGCCCCCGGTATGAAACGTCGATAGAAGTTGATCATACCGAGGTACTTTCGAAGTTCTTTAACGGTCGCAGGTAGTTTAATTATTACGTCAACACTTTCAGGCAATGGTTTAATGTGCGCAGGACATTCTATTCGAGGACACGTACAGCAGATTAGTAGATTCTTGCGTTAAAACGCATTAGAAACAAAGGTAAAATCGATTTCGTTCGTTCACAATTATCCCTCTATGGCGAATTACTACTTCTAACCCCGGCGAGAAAGAAAGCGATCGAACGATTCGAGTAATCTCAGGATTGCAATTCCTGTCTTGACGTACAATGACTGCTAGCAAGAGGCACTCACGCACGTACCAATTCGCGTACACTAATCTGTCAAGCCATATTCCAACTCGCACTACTTTAAATGTCATTCGTCGCACGATCATCGACCAAGTTTGTATCTGAAAATCAAATCAACGTGATCTTTTCTTTACATCGACCGAACAAGCTATACAACGTGCAATTTGTTTTCGAGAACAGTGTGAACACCAGTCGGATACAAGTTGGAACGCGATCTTGTTTAGCGACTAATCGTAAATAATACAAATGTGATATTCTTTTGAAATTTGAATCGGTCGTTGTACCGAACGAGTAGGGTCGGTTTCGTTCGTTTGCATGTTTGCCGGTCTGGAAATATATCTAATTTGTAGAGATCGTTTATCTACAGCCGCCATACCTCCTTCTTTCGAACCATTTTCATGTGACGAACCATTTTTATATACAAATTTTACTGGAACTAATTATCGAACAGCGTGTTATACAAAAACAAATACAAATATTTTATCCCTTCGCGCTATCGCAGCGCTGCACTTGGTTCAGGTTCCAAAGGAATAGGAAAATTTGGCGAGACAACGAACGCTATACAGTTTGCCGTAAAATGCAGGTACATTTGATAATGAACAAATCCGTTGAGCATTTCGACCGATCGACGAGATAGCAGAGTGAGAAGAACTTCGGCCGGTCGAATCCGCACGCGAGCCGGACGAGGTTACTCAGATTATATAAAAAACAAGTTTGAGCCGAAACATAACTATTAGCTTTCTTTCGAGCGAGACTCGTGGCAAGGGATGTGGGCCATAAGCGAAAACCACGAGTCAGATTCGTGGTAAAGAATTTGTGCTATAAACGGAACCCACGAATGTGACTTGTGGTAATTTACAAATTACGAATGATTCATTATCCACTTTGAAATGATAAATTGTTTTTGTTAACTGATCAATTGATCATGATTACGCCATAGACGTCTTTGAAATACTATTTGTCCTCAAACGTTGTTTATTATTTCACAATTCCTTTTGTAGCCCCTAAATATACATGTCAGAAGCACTCCTACCTCCGTCCTCCCACTAATCGTAGGGCTCCTCTGGAGTCTCCTACTCGGTTTAAAGGGGCAGAAATCTTCACTTCCATATCTCTCACGATTTTTAAATATTTATTCAATTGTTTCTGCCAAAGTGAACACATGCCGTTATAGCTTAAACCCGTAGTTTTGGCTATCGCGGAGGGTAAATTAGCCTTCCTACCGAAAGTTAATTCAATTGGCGAGAAGCCTGTGGCTTCGTGAATCGAAATACTATATCCTAAACAAATAAAATTCAAAACTTCATCCCATTCTCTATTGTTGTCATGTAAACTAGTTCGAATCAAATCTTTCACCACAGCATGTGTTCTTTCTAAGGATCCGTTGGATCGAGCGTGGAAGGATGTGGTTTTAATATGTTTGATTTTGAAAGCTTCATCAAACTTAGTCATTAGTTCGCTCACAAAATTCTGTCTTTGATCCGTCAAAATTGTTCTTGGTGCTGAGAAAATATAAATATAATGTTTCAAAAGAGAATAATTGACTCTGTCTGTTGGGTCTTCAAAGGTACTGTGGTAGTTGTTGCTCCCTGGTGAAAAGAGAGTGCGCGTTTCGTCCCGGGACTACCGGTGGACTCGTCAGTAAGGCTATATCAGGTAGTCCATGCCTTA